TTGCTGAAAAAAGAACTTATTGAAGCTTTTTGTCTTGCACTCATCAGGGCAATTTGCAAGTAATACCAATATAGAGAGAAAACAATACTTATGCTGTATGACATGTGTGCACTAATTGGTTGGCAAGTGGACTCTGATTAGTAGAAGTGCTGCCATGGAGAATGCAAATGTCAGTGATGGCTGATAGTAAACTGTCAAGCTTTGAAGTTTAAACAAGATAGGTGACTCTGATTACTTAAGATACTGCCTTGAGAAATGAACTAAAAACTGGCTGTCACCTATTTTGTTGCATTGAAATAGACATAGTGTGTGTACAGGTTTATGCATTAATAAACATTAATGGATGTACATGCAAGTGCATCATATTGCAAGCCTGACTGTCAGTCCTAAATTGGTTGTCAGCATAATACTTCGTATCTTCTGGATTTTGTCGCAAATTTTCAATCTATTACAGACTAAGCTGAAATGGTAAACATGCTGTTTGAGCAACAGATGAAACTAATTGCTTTATGTTGCTAACACGCAGTAGCATTACAACTGGTGTTCACGATTAACAGGATGCTGTCATAAAGCCATAAAACGTTCTACCTATCCAACAAAACAGTAATGCAGTATATGAATTTCAGTGTTGGTGTGATGCTAGGTACATGGACCATACATCTCAAAGCGTGGTGGACTATATCAAACAGCATATCCCTTCAACAAGTAAAGTACTGATCACATGAATTGCAAAACTCACAGCACTGTGTCCAACTTAGATTCCACATCTGGACAACATTTGCTACATAATCCTTAGTTTGGGAAGGATAATGCTGAGAAGCAATTTAGGATTGTCAATCACACTTGCAATATGGTTCACTTAACATACTGGATTTATTAATACACAGAGCCCTGTTCTTTGTAGATAGAAATAATATGTATATATATGTCTGCTTCAACTCAACAAAGGAGATGGCAGCCATTCTCTGGTTCATTTCTCAGTGAAATCCCCTGACAATAAGATCAACTTACCTTAATTAAAATTTAAAAATGTTAAACAAGTAGTTAATAGTCAGTATCATTAACTGGTGTGATCTGCATGGCAACATTAAACTAATCTCAAGGTGAACCTGATGTTGCCTATCTAGCTCATTCAAGCAACAAACAAAACACAAGCTCCTCGCCTCCACATCACATCATCTAATTGCTTCTTACATGACTCCAAAGACGTTGATTCTAATTACCTCAAATGGAAGTCTACTTAAAGTATTTGTTGTTATTTGTATGAGCAAATCTTTGTGATATTAATCTAGTGTCGCTAGGTTGATTTTGAACCTTTAAAATCATTAAAGGCTTTAAGTTATTAACTCATGTGATTGTGCATGTGAATAAAGCTGTCATTAAAATGTTAAGCCCTGATTTTAACCACCATGGCTGACCAAGAGACAGCATGCATATCCTTACATAACCACACACTATTTTGATAGATGTTATGGTCAGCCAATGAGGCCCTTGCACCAGGCAGAATAAGGCCTCATTGAAATTCAGATGTTAGGCCATGATATCATTTTGATCCTGACTATACTTTCTATGGTCAGCCTTGACCAGAGTACAATGGGCACAAAGGAGCTTCAGGAGAACAATTAAAAAGGTAAGCAGTTTCTAAAAATGGTTTCTCATTGCCTAGGGACACGTGGAAACATGCTTCTTACAGTAATCATCCACCATTCATCCACTACCACGCTTCCTCCACTGAACTGACTGCTGGGGACTGCTGCTGTGGGTACATAGCCAGAGCATCTTGCGGGGCTTAGCAAACCTCCTATGCTTACAAGCTTGTTATCATGCATTGGCACTAGATTTGGAAAGAGTTGGCTGTGGTCTACTCAGATAAAGCTCAGGAATGAAATGACTCAGACCTTACACTGGAAAGGCAAGGCAAGGTGATCTTAACGTTCTCTTCACCAGTTCCACATTCGCTTCTCTATCTCCTCTGTTAAAATGTAAGCATTGGTAACAGATAATTTATTTTGAAACATATATCATGAAAGGTATTGTAACAGCAAGAGTGAGTTATCACAGTCTTACGTTTGCAAAGTATGTGCAAATTTCGGCACACTCTTGTAAAAGTTAAAACCAGTGCCTGGTTCAGGAGGGAGGGTTTTTGATAACTGGGCCAGTTGGACTGGTTCTGGGGCACATGAAATCTGTGCAAGGAGGATGGGTTACACTTTACCTAGATTGGGGAGATCTCCTTTTGGGGAGATTTGCTAGTGCTGTTGGGGAAGATTTAAATTAGCTTGTCAGGCAATGGGAACCTAAGAGGAAGTTTACATAGAATAAAAACACAGCTGATCATGGGAAGTGATTAAGCTATAAATGAATGTGAAATATAGCAGAAACCAATCCTAGAATCAACCAGGGTCAAATTAAAGAATAGTGTGGAAAAGGCAGAATTAAAAGCACTTTGAATGCTCACACCATTTGCAACAAGATAGATGAATTGAAGGCAACAGTATAAGTAAAAGAGTATGATTTAATTGCAATTTCTGGATATGTGACAGTAGGATGACCAAATGTGAACAAATATTAAAGAGTATCTCCCATTTTGGAGAGATGGGCAAATAGGAAAAAGAGGTGGGGTAGAGCTGATCGATTTATGAAGAGAAACTTATATTTGACAAACCTGATAGACTCTTTTAAGAATGTTATTAGTAAAGTTGATAAGGGCGAACAAGTGGATGTGGTGTGTTTGGATTTTCAGAAAGATCCTAATAAGGTACCATATAGGAGGATAGCAAACTAAATTAAAGTACATGGAATTGGAGGTTATAGACTAGCATGGATTGAGGCTTGCTTAACAAGCATAAAGCAGAAAGTAGGAATAACTAGGTCATACTCTGGTTGGCAGACTGTGACTAATGGGATACAGCAAGGATCAGTGCTAAGACCCAGCTGTTTACCATTTATATTAAAGATTTAGTGTGTGGCCTATGGTGCAGAGGTAGTGTTCCTACCCTGGGGCCAGGAGACTTAGGTTCATACTCCCACCTGCTCCAGAGGTGTGTAAATAACATCTCCAAACAGATTGATGGGAAAACATATAGATGTGGGGGCTAATTGTAACATTTCCAGTTTTGCAATTGATATAAAACTTGGTAGGGATTTGAATTGTGAGAAAGGATATATTCCACAGTAGAACAAGCTACCAAAGGAAATGGTCACTGCCACATCACTGGAAATCATTTAAAAACAGTCATTATCAGGATTGTCATTTTCAGCAGACCATGCTTGTTGTGGCTGGCTCTACCCATCTAAATGTTGGCAGAAGTGATGCTGATGCAACTAAAGCAGAATCTCTCCCTATGTCACTTTCCTCCTCTTTAAGACATTTCGTTAAAAGTCTTTGACCAAGTACTTGGTCGTCTGACCTAATGCCTGCTGGATCTCAATGTCACATTTTTTTCTTTTTTAATGCTCCTGTGAAGCACCTTGTAATGTTTCTTTACATTGAAATTGCTATCTAAACATAAATGGTAGCGCTGGCCCTCATGTGTTAACAGCATCATGTGATGGCATTTAGCTTGCACAGTCAATCAGATTGGTTTCAGCTGAAACACTTGGAGTGAATGTGTCTTGGGTTGCGTCTGGATGCTCTGGTTTCCTCCCATGGTCCAAAGATGTGCAGGTTAGGTGGTTTGGCTATGAGGATTGCAGGGTTACAGGGTTGGGAAAAAGAGTCTGGTTAGGATGTCTTCAGAGGGTTGGTGTGGATTTGATGGGCTGAGTGGCCTGTTTCCACATGTAGTGATTCCACGATTCTATGATTTAGACAGGCTCAGTGAAACAGCAAGAGTGTGGCACATGGAGTATGTGAGATGTGGATAAATGAGGTTGTCCACTTAGGTAGAAGGAATGCACAGTATTTCTTAAATGATGAGAGATTGGAAAGTGTTGATGACCAAAGGAACCTCCTTGTTTATAAGCCACTGAACCTGGCATGCAGATACAGCAAGCAATTTGAAAGGTAAACATTAAGTTAACCTTTATTGCAAGAGGTGGTGAGTACAGGAGCAAAAATGTCTTGCTTCACTTATACAGAACACGAGTGAAACTGCACCTAGAGTATTTTGTATAGTTTTGATCCTTTTGTCTAAGGAAGGATATACTTGCAATAGAGGCACTGCAGCAGAAATTCACTAGACCTTTTTCCTGGGATGGTGGGACTGCCTCATGAGGGTGGATTAAGGAGCCTGGACTTGTATCCCCTGGAGTTTAGAAGAATGAGAGATGATGTCATTGAAACTTATAAAATTCTTAAAGAGATAGTCAGAGTAGATGCTGAAAAGGTGGTTTCCCTGCCTGTGGGGTTTAGAATCAGAGGACACAGTCTCAGACTAAAAGGTAAACCATTTAGGACTGAGATGAAGAGGAACGTCTTTAGTCTGAGGATGGTGAACGTTTTGAATTCTCTACCTCAGAGAGCTGCGGAAGCTCAGTCATTATGCAAGATCCATACAGAGATTGGTAGCTAGAAATCTATCAATGACATCAGGGATAAGGGACAGCATAGGACCTTAGCATTGAGGTAGCTATCAGTTATAACAAAGCAGGTTCAAGGGTTTGAATGATTTCCTCCTACTCGTATATCTTATTGTGCAGGTAGCAAAGGACCTGCTGTGGGACCGAATGGTGTTTAGTGCTGTACTGAATCAATTTTACAAGAAACAATGCATTTGTTAGCCTTTAAGTAATAATTTAAGTAGTTGAAGTACCTTGATTCTCAGTCTCATGGGAATATTCCACTATCATTGTAAAATGGTAACTTGCTCCCGTGGAATAAAACGAAATTATCAAAGTGAGCATTTTACTGACAGCATGATTTGCTCGCTCCCTTTATCCAAATAACCTCAATTCAGTGGAAGTTTTTGGCATATGATTTTTATAGTTTGTGCTCAAATATTCTTGTATCAAAATGTCACAATGTTTGTTAGACATTCAGTTAAATGCTGTTTACATACCACAATATCCAGGGGTCCCGCAGACTGTCTTCATGGTAACCTGCTCATTCAGAATTTTGGATAGACCAAAGTCAGCTACATCAACAAGAAAAGACAGAACAGGATCAATGGTGAATTTTTTACAATGTCTATGTGTTTGTTATTATTGTAAGAACAAACGTTTGTGTTATTGTCAAGAAAAATGATCAAATATTATACGAGCATCAATGCTGAAAAGCCAGCATTTTAGTACCCGCCGGCCTGATGATCTGTGCACCTACTTTTAATAACTGCTTTTTGGAGCAGACGAAAGGTTTAGGTAACTCCACAGCAGAGATGGTGCTTGTTGCTAAGCACAACAGTACATTTAGAAAAAAAAATTCTTTTAGTTATAATTGAAAAGGCTCTTTTTATGGTTAAGAAAATCCAGAAAAAATAGAAATAGCCTTTTAATCTTGACGGGCACTTTTGCAGAATAGTGGCTATCGTAATAAGGCCTCAGTTAAGAAATAAACTACATATGCTGAAAATAAAAATAAAAACAGAAACAGCAGGCTGTCTGTATCTTAAAAGAGTATATTAAAAAACCTAACAATCTGTGTAGAGATTCAAGAGACAGTTTTCCAACCATTGACAGTACTCTGGAAAATTAGACTTTATTTATCAGCATGTCATATATGTGAAAATGAGTCTATACTCAAAACATTAACTTGCCTTTTTTTTCAAATCCAGTCTACAATGTTTTATATTTTAATTTACATAAAATTAGGAGAGTTTTTCAGAAACCTTCAAATTCAGTTTGAGAGAGAGTAACTGGGGTCTCAAACCCATGTTCACAACTTAAATTAAAAGGAATTATTACAGAGATGTGAGGAAAGAGTGTCTGAAGCAAGCTAATGTAAATTGGAGACTTGTTATCCACACTAGCCCTGGACTAGGAGATCATTTTTGAATATTTTGCAATAATTTTTGCAAGAAGCTACGGTATGTGCATGTTATGTTGATCCAGAATCGACCTTGACTCTAATGCTTCAATGGTGAATAACATGCTGTTATTTGATCATTGTCTCAGCTCTTACATGGAAAATGGCCTTTACTCCGAGATACAAGATTTGAAACAAAACACATTTGTTAAGCACATATGAGAACTTCCCTATTGTCATGGTTAGCAGAACTATGAATTTGTTGACAATTTTGCTATTCACAGAGCAAATAGAAAATCTTCATATTGCTGGGGAGTTGTGTAGTTTCTCTCAAATTCTAAGTATGGCAAATCTTCAGTTATATATAATTGTACAGTGAGGCTTACCTATTTTCAGTGGTGCTTCTGATGATAGATCTGCATATAGAAGGTTTTCTGGTTTAAGGTCTCGATGGACCACTCCGTTCTCATGTAAATACTGAAAGGATATTCAGAAAGAAATCAGACTTCACGTTAACAAAATAACAGTACCGTAATTTTGTGCTCGAGTGGCTCTTGGTCAATTGCTACTGGTCTTTGTTTCTGATTATTTCTTAAATTGCAGCCTCTTTTGCTGAAGCAGTTGTACAATGATGAAATCAATCTGTTTTCATAACAGGTTTTCCAGCACTGGCAACAGCAGAAAATGTCAATGCCAATGAAAATTACAAAAGGGACTTAAAAAATTAAAAAGTCATTTGTAGTATTTTGGTAAAGATCAGTGCTAAGATTGCATGTGTGCTACTCTGTGATTTAATCTTTGTTTCTGTGTTTTTGGGATTACATTTCTTCTATTTATATATAGACTAGTTGGTTCATGGGGAGGTTAACGTGGATCTGAATGCCAAGCTGGATTTGTGGAGTTGGGAATTTTCTCAAATACAGTGAAATTTCAGCTTCACGAAATCCAGCTATTCTAAAAGATTCTTGCTCTCATGTAAATTTGAAAATTGGAAGGCATGCCTGATTTTCTGGCATTACTGCTGAGCTTGTTAATTCTAGTGTATTCAATGGCAGACCTAGAACTTTCACCCTTTAGTTGTTTTGTTTTTATCACATTGGGTTAAAAGTGTATCACAATTTTTTTCCAGGAAGTGCAAAGTCTGTGGTTTCAACAATTTCTGGTTACAGTAACTTCGAGACAACTTTATCTGATTTTATATGTAGCTTTCAGGTTGGAGGAGACACTAATACAAAACTTCGTAAAGTTGGAAAGGTTCCGTACTTTAGCTAGAAAAGCAGTGCAGCCCAGAACTCCAAGGTTCCCAACCTTGAAACTGGCAACAGCCATTTTAAGGGGGTTGGGAATGGGGACAGGAGACATTTTACACAACAGAGACAGTTGCATAGTTAAGTTCAGCTGCCTTCAAACAGAAACAGTTTTGGTTGCCCAGATTTCTGAAACATGACTTCTGGGCTTTGGCCATTTGAGAGAAAGGTCTGAACCTGTCAGAATTATTTGAAGAGGTAAGGTAATCTTTTGGGTGAACTCACATACTTCTTTTACAGAGGTCAGGTACCCTTTGGAGAAGTAAGGCACCCCTTTGGCATTGTTAAAATTAGACATGAATGTATGTAAAATTGGATAAGGTCTTTGAAGATGTTCAATTTAATTCCTTGTTGTTTAAATTTTGAGAAAAAAGCATCACCCAGCCTGCATTTGGAAAAAATCCATGATATTTCAATAAATATTTGTTGATATGAGCCTGAGCGTTATCATCATACGATTAATGTTCCTTGTCTGTTTCCACACCTTTTCATTACCATTGTGTTGGATCTGTAAATTTGCATTTTGACCAGTCAGAGATGTTGTAGCTGTTTTTAAATTGGTGTGGGGGTGAGGGGACGGTTACATGAATACAGGTGTTTGTTTTTAAAGGGGACTAAGCACTTGAAAGAAATCTGTATTTGTATCAGCGATTAAGTAATTGAAGCAATTTAAATTTCTTGAATGACCTTTTATCAATGAAACTTTTATTTTAAAATATTGAAGTCTATAACAGACACTTAGAAATTTATTCTGTTTAATTTCAGCATAGGGACCAAGGCCTTCCCATGGTGAAGTCTAGGTGACTTGGCAGCAAAGGTATAAAGGACCATGAAGTGTGGTTGGAGTTCATAGATTGGTAAGGAAGGTATGAGAAGCAATTGAGGTTAGTTTCTGGGCCTTACATTGGTATGGAGGACATGGGATGGGTAAAGGGTCATAGATTACCTTGTGGGTAATGAGATGCTATGGGTGTGTGGTTGGGGGCGGGGGGTACATCAGGAGATTTCATCAGTTAACATTCTGGCTCTCCACCACCCTCTGGCTGCCTATATACTGTTTCTAGGAGCAGAATGCCTGACTTCATTTTGCACCCATTCCCCAGTACTGAAGATTACAACAATGGAGGCACGTTTTCTCAACCTAGGTTTGTGGAGCTGGGAATTTTCTCAAATACAGTGAAATTTTGGCTTCATGACATTGTAAATCCAGCTATTCAAAAAAAAATTCTTGCTGTCATGTTTTGGAATCCCACTGAAATGGCCAGAAACCTGGGAAACTTAGGGGCTGGGCTTGGAGACTGTCTTCATTAGGATTCTCTCACCTTCAGTATTCATAGTGATACAGTTTATGGAGCTGTTACCTTTCATGTCATCTAGCATTTGTGAAACTATTGGTGATTATAGGGCCTACTCAGGATAACAAGGTCTACATGTACACCAATCTTCAGTCCTTAAACAGACTATGAGGCACTATCATTAAAAATCATTAAAAATCATACCCTTCTGCTGGACCTTGCTTGACTCCCTCCAAATAGTTACTTTCCTTCCTGATGCACAGTCTAGCAGCACTGTCTTTTAGGACTCCACTAGTTCAGTTCCTAGTAGAGCGGCTGTGACAGAGTATTTTGTGTTCTTTTTTTCCTGTGGTGCTTTTCCAAATTGGTGTGGAACATGGAGGAGTATGGATTCATCAGCCCTAGGAGGGGGCATTGTGTTGGGTGGGAATAAGCAGGAGATTTGCTTGCCTATGTTTGACCTGGAGACATGATATTTTGTGGGTCTAGAGTCAATGTAGAGGACTGCTAGGGCAATTCCCTGCTGACTGTATACGCTGTGCTGCCACCTCTGTTGAATTTGTCCTGAAGGTGGGATATGACATATGGTCTTGTGAACATATCCAGGGATAATGATGATGAAGTCTGGGACATTTTCTGTAAAGTACGATTCCATGAGTATGACTCTAGGCGGTTGTTTGATCAGAAGATGGAACAGCTTTCCACTTTTTGGAACAAATCCCCAGACGATAGCAAGGAGAACTTTGCAAGATTGACAGGACTAGGTTACTGCTGTTGTTTCTGGTGCCTATAGGTTAATGCTGAGTAGTCCATCCAGTTTCCAGACTTTGTATTGGTTTGAGACAACCGATCATCCTTACTTGTCCTTGAACTGTGTTGAAAGGACATTTAAGAGTCTATCACGTTTCTGTGGTTCCGGAGTCACATGTAGACCAGACCAGTTAAGGACAGGCAGATTTCCTTCCTTAAAGCACATCAGTGAACCAGATGGGTTTGTACAACAAGTGACAGTGTTTTATGATCACCATTAGATCAGCTTTCAATTCCAGTTTCTTTCATTAATTGAGTTCAGATTTCTGCCATCTGCCATGATGGTGTTTGAATCATATTTTACCACATCCCAAGAAGATTAGCCTCTGATTAAAGGAAGCTATTGCTGGACAGGACTTCTACTCCCATAAGTTTGCCAGGCCTTCCCTGGAAGAGGCAGAGTGGGTTTCTCACCAGACTCCAGCCATCTGATGAGATGCCTGCTGCTTCAACAAGATTCTGCTACACTTTTTGGAAAAAAAAACGTATTCCCAATTTTTCTCAAAATTGTGATTGTGGGAAAGTTACACTTATGTTGTCAGTGATGTGTATTGAGCAGAGAAAATCACTGCTCCCACATTATTCTCCTCCAAACAATTTATTGTTGGGGCCTGCTTTTAACTCTATGTAAGTGAATATCTTTTGAATAATTTAAAAACTGGCCGTAATGGAATCAGTTTACCATCATCTGCAGCGCAGTGTATACAACAAAGATTTTTTTTCATAATTTGTGTGGTGACAAGCTCTGAGTTTGATGTCTGTCAAATGTTTCAATGTCAGCCAGCTGTGTAATGAGTTTCATCAGATTCAAGGCTGCTTAATTTCATTTGAATGAAAAATTAATCTGATATCATATTTTGCATTCAACCACTGTTCTCCAGGTGCAAAATTTGCTCAATTTCACAAGCATATTCATTCTGATCTGTTGTAAGCTGCATTATAACTGATCAAATATGAAGATTGAAACCATAACATTTACTGACTATTACTCTTGGTTATTGGTTTCTTCTTACTTGTTTGCACGTTATGGAGAATGCTGGCAAGGCACGAGAAGCTCAGTTTTGCATCCCAGTGATCATACTTTACATTTGAGTCTCATTCGAAATATTTAGCAGGGAGAGTATTACCTTGGATTTGGTCCTAACATGCATCCGTGCATACTCTTGCATTGATCAGAAGAACTGAGAGTAATTTGCTGTGTCAAGCATTGCTGATATGTTACAGAATTCCTGACAGCAGTGTAGGAACACCTACAATTCGAGGACTGCAGTAGTTCAAAAAGGCAGTTCACCAGCTTTTCCAGGGCAATTTGAGATAGTCAATAGATACTGGTCTAGCTAGAGATGCTAATGTTCCATTAATGAATTAAAAAAATATTTAAAACTTTTGACTGACTTTGACATTGACAAACTAATAACCTGTTCCTCTGAATACTATTGAGAGGCTTCGAGAACTACTTCTAACAATATGCGAAAGGCTGGCGTACCCTCTGAACTTACTCCCTTGAAGTTACATGGATCCTGTTTTTTTCCAGCCCTGAAACTTCCCTCAGCTTAAACTGTGCATGGAATCTTCTCAGGCATTGAATGGCATGGGTATTGCAAGAAAGTTGGGAGAATTGCAAGAGTTCGGCAGCGAGGAGCTTCCTGCCATCAAGAGCAAAAAGTCCCATTTTCCAACTAAGTGTTGAACAGCAATGTTAGATTCTTGCTAGTTAGCATACAATAATATCCTCATTATTTCTTCATTTCGCTTCAATGATATGTAGTCTCCTATTCTCCCAACCGCTGGACAGAAATTAGATGGCAATAATACCCGATTTGAAAGTCAGAACTGTAATCTGGTGACTCCAGCTCACCACTTTTTCCTCCTGCACTCCGTAAGTCACTGAAATCTTCGAACATGCTCCGAGCGTAGTGATCACATGTATGCCCTGTCCATCAGGGTCCTCAGGTCCCATTCCATAAAGTGGGATACCAATTTCCCTCTGTCTGATATGTCTGGGCAATTGACAGGTACTGTGCAGGACAGCTGTGGACTGCCAACGCTTGACTGGATGTATGACTTGGCTTTAAAGATTGTGCCATTGCCTGGAATACCTGGAGGCCTTGGCAGTGGCCAGCACTTCCACTAGAGGGGAGTGGGAGAATATGATATACATAGGTAATGAGGGGAGTTTGGGAAAACAGCCATCAGAAAATTCACTGAGGTCTGTGGAAAGAAACCTTCCAGAAACTTGCCAAAAATGACACATAGTTGATATATGAAAAGCTTCAGTCCTGTGTCTAACTGGTAAAAAAAAATCCCCAAAACCAATTTTTTTTGACTGAACAAGCAAGTTATATTCACAATGAAAGCACAGTTAAATGATCTGATACAGTTAATTTGACCACTAATCCATCTACTTTTTCTTCTGTCCATTGATTTTCTTCACTGTAAAGAAGTTAATCTTGGCTCATTGTATCCTGCCTTCACACAATTAAAAGAAGTAATATACTCACTTCTGAAATTTCCCTCTCTCACTTTCCATTGGTGTTGTCATTTTCTCGCTTTCTCCATTCCCTACCCTATTTCTCTCATTTTTTTCTTCTTCATTTCCAATTGACTCCCATCTGCCAGAATCTTATTATCTTCCCATCTTCTAAATCTACTTGGACTTGATTTAGACTGCCCAAGTGCAATACCACAGGAGTCTATCTGAAAAAGTTTCTGCTGAACTTGAAAACTTCAATAATTGCCTCAATTTCTATTGTGCTGAGGAACCCACACAAATTTTATTGTTCAGCTGTGAAAGTCATGTTTTCAAGCATGCCAGGGACACTGAGTATTTGTCAATATGACACTTAATCACAGCAGCATCTGTCAAGTTACAGCATTATATTTAAGACATGAGGTTGAGCCAATTTTTTTTGCAGTG